ACACTGGCAAAGTCTCCCGACACACTGGCAAACATTCTGCACACACTGGCAAACATTCTCCCCACACACTGGCAAACATTCTCCACACACACTGGCAAACATTCTCCCCACACACTGGCAAACATTCTCCCCACACACTGGCAAACATTCTCTCCACACACTGGCAAACATTCCCCACACACTGGCAAACATTCTCCCCACACACTGGCAAACATTCTTCCCATACACTGGCAAACATTCTCATCATACACTGGCAAACATTCTTTCCACACACTGGCAAACATTCTCCCTACACACTGGCAACTATTTCTCCCACATACTGGCAACCATTTCTCCCACACACTGGCAAACATTTTCCCCACACACTGGCAAACAGTCTCCCCACACACTGGCCAACATTCTCCTTACACACTGGCAAACATTATCACCACACACTGGCAAACTTTCTCCCCACACACTGGAAATCTTTCTCCTGATACACTGGCAAACATTCTCCGCACACACTGGCAAACATTCTCCCCACACACTGGCAAACGTTCTCAATACACTGGCAAACATTCTCCCCACACACTGGCAAACATTTTCCCCTCACACTGGCAAACATTCTCCCCACACACTGGCAAAAATTCTTCCCACACACTGGCAAACATTCTCCCCACACATTGGCAAACATTCTCCCCACACACTGGCAAACATTCTCCCCACACACTGGCAAGCATTTTTCCCACACATTGACAAATATTCTCCTGATACACTAGCAAACATTCTCCGCACACACTGGCAAACATTCTCCGCACACACTGGCAAACATTCTCAACACACACTGGCAAACTTTCTCCTGATACACTGGCAAACATTCTCCACACACAGTGGCAAACTTTCTCCTGATACACTGGCAAACATTCTCCGCACACACTGGCAAACATTCTCCCCAAACACTGGCAAACATTCTCCCCACACACTGGCAAATATTCTCTCCACACACTGCCAAACATTCTCCACACACACTGGAAAACATTCTCCACACACACTAGCAAAAATTCTCCCCACACACTGGCAAACATTCTCCCCACACACTGGCAAACATTCTCCCCACACACTGGCAAACATTCTCCCCACACACTGGCAAACATTCTCCCCACACACTGGCAAACATTCTCCCCACACACTGGCAAACATTCTCATCCCATACACTGGCAAACATTCTCTCCCACACTGGCAAACATTCTCCCCACACACTGGCACACTGGCAACTATTCTCCCACACACTGGCAACCATTTCTCCCACACACTGGCAAACATTTCTCCCACACACTGGCAAACATTTTCCCCACACACTGGCAAACAGTCTCCCCACACACTGGCCAACATTCTCCTTACACACTGGCAAACATTATCACCACACACTGGCACACTTTCTCCCCACACACTGGAAATCTTTCTCCTGATACACTGGCAAACATTCTCCGCACACACTGGCAAACATTCTCCCCACAGACTGGCAAACGTTCTCAATACACTGGCAAACATTCTCCCCACACACTGGCAAACATTTTCCCCTCACACTGGCAAACATTCTCCCCACACACTGGCAAAAATTCTTCCCACACACTGGCAAACATTCTCCCCACACATTGGCAAACATTCTCCCCACACACTGGCAAACATTCTCCCCACACACTGGCAAGCATTTTTCCCACACATTGACAAATATTCTCCAAACACACTGGCGAACATTCTCTCCACACACTGGCAAAAATTCTTCCCACACACTGGCAAACATTCTTTACACACACTGGCAAACATTCTCCTGATCCACTGGCAAACATTCTCCCCACACACTGGCAAACATTCTCCCCACACACAGGCAAACATTCTCCCCACACACTGGCAAACATTCTCCCCACACACTGGCAAACATTCTCTCCACACACTGGCAAACATTCTCCCCACACACTGGCAAACATTCTCCACACACACTGGTCAACATTCTTCTTACACACTGGCAAACATTATCCCCACACACTGGCAAACATTCTGCATACACTGGCAAACATTCTCCGCACACACTGGCCAACATTCTCCTTACACACTGGCAAACATGATCCCCACACACTGGCCAACATTCTCCTTACACACTGGCAAACATGATCTCCACACACTGGCAAATATTATAACCACACACTGGCAAATTTTCTCCCAACACACTTGCAAACTTTCTCCCCACACAGTGGCAAACTTTCTACTGATACACTGGCAAACATTCTCCGCACACACTGGCAAACATTCTCCCCACAAACTGGCAAACATTCTCCGCACACACTGGCAAACATTTTCCCCACACACTGGCAAACATTCTCCCCACACACACTGGCAAACATTATCCCCACACACTGGCAAACATTCTCCGCACACACTGGCAAACATTCTCTCCACACACTGGCAAACATTCTCCACACACTGGCAAACATTCTCCCCACACACTGGCAAACATTCTCTCCACACACTGGCAAACATTCTCTCCACACACTGGCAAACATTCTCCCCATACACTGGCAAACATTCTCTCTACACACTGGCAAACATTCTCCCCCCCCCCCCCCTCCACACTGGCAAACATTCTCTCCACACACTGGCAAACATTCTCCACACACACTGGCAAACATTCTCCCCACAAACTGGCAAACATTCTCCCCACACACTGGCAAACATTCTCCCCACACACTGGCAAACATTCTCCGCACACAGTGGCAAACATTATCTCCACACACTGGCAAACATTCTCCCCACACACTGGCAAACATTATCCGCATACACTGGCAAATTTTCTCCCAACACACAGTCGAACTTTCTCCCCACACACTGGCAAACTTTCTCCTGATACACTGGCAAACATTCTCCGCACACACTGGCAAACATTCTCCCCACAAAAATGGCAAACATTCTCCCCACACACTGGCAAACATTTTCCCCACACACTGGCAAACATTCTCCCCACACACAGGCAAACATTCTCCGCACACACTGGCAAACATTCTCTCCACACACTGGCAAACATTCTCCGCACACACTGGCAAACATTCTCCCCACACACTGGCAAACATTTTCCCCACACACTGGGAAACATTCCTCCCACACACTGGCAAACATTATCCCCACACACTGGCAAACATTCTTCCCACACACTGGCAAACATTCTCCCCACACACTGGCAAACATTCTCCCACACACTGGCAGACATTATCCCCACACACTGGGAAACATTCCTCCCACACACTGGCAAACATTCTCCCACACACTGGCAAACATTCTCCTGATACACTGGCAATCTCTCCACACACTGGCAAACATTCTCCTGATACACCGGCAATCTCTTCACACACTGGCAAATATTCTCCCCACTTACTGTAATCACTCTCTCCACACACTGGCAAACATTCTCCCCACATACTGTAATCACTCTCTCCACACACTGGCAAACATTCTCCTGATACACTGGCAATCTCCCCACACACTGGCAAACATTCTCCTGATACACTGGCAATCTCCCCACACACTGGCAAACATTTTCCCCACTTACTGTAATCACTCTCTCCACACACTGGCAAACATTCTCCCCACAAATTGGCAAATACTCTCCTCACACTTGACAAACATTCTCCCCACAAATTGGCAAATACTCTCCTCACACTTGACAAACATTCTCCCCACAAATTGGCAAATACTCTCCTCACACTTGACAAACATTCTCCCCACAAATTGGCAAATACTCTCCTCACACTTAACAAACATTCTCCCCACAAATTGGCAAATACTCTCTTCACACTTAACAAACATTCTTCCCACAAATTGGCAAATACTCTCCTCACACTTGACAAAAATTCTCCCCACAAATTGGCAAATACTCTCCTCACACTTGACAAACATTCTCCCCACAAATTGGCAAATACTCTCCTCACACTTGACAAACATTCTCCCCACAAATTGGCAAATACTCTCCTCACACTTGACAAACACTGTCCTCAAATACTAGCTAGCACACAATACTCACATACTGGTAACCGCACCCCACCCCCCTTTTTTTTACACGCACACACACGCTCGCCCGCTAGAGATGGACAGACAAGTGTATGTCTGTGCTAATAATTGTCTTGATTTCCTGCCAGCAAAGACCAACACGTTCTGTGGCTTCGAGGACCCCAAGATTTGTGGCTTCAAGAACGTCAATGACAGTTCGGATTTCTTCAACTGGGAGAGGGGTCAAGGTCAAACGCCTTCCCCGGGCACCGGTCCCGTCAAAGATCACACTTGCGGCAGCTCCAGCGGTGAGTCCCACACATCGCCTGTATGTGCCAACACATCGCCCGTCTGTGCCCTGAGTCCCACACATCGCCTGTCTGTGCCCACACATCGCCCGTCTGTGCCCACACCTAGCCTGTCTGTGCCCACACATCGCCTGTCTGTGCCCACACACGCCTGTCTATGCCCACACCTCGCCTGTCTATGCCCACACCTCGCCTGTCTATGCCCACACCTAGCCTGTCTATGCCCACACCTCGCCTGTCTATGCCCACACATCGCCTGTCTGTGCCCACACACACCTGTCTATGCCCACACCTAGCCTGTCTGTGCCCACACCTAGCCTGTCTATGCCCACACCTCGTCTTTCTATGCCCACACATCGCCTGTCTGTGCCCACACACGCCTGTCTATGCCCACACCTCGCCTGTCTATGCCCACATCTCGCCCGTCTGTGCCCACACCTAGCCTGTCTGTGCCCACACATCGCCTGTCTGTGCCCACACACGCCTGTCATGCCCACACACGCCTGTCTATGCCCACACATCGCCTGTCTATGCCCACATCTCGCCCGTCTGTGCCCACACCTAGCCTGTCTGTGCCCACACCTAGCCTGTCTGTGCCCACACATCGCCTGTCTGTGCCCACACATCGCCTGTCTGTGCCCACACATCGCCTGTCTGTGCCCACACCTAGCCTGTATGTGCCCACACATCGCCTGTCTATGCCCACACATCGCCTGTCTGTGCCCACACATCGCCTGTCTATGCCCACACATCGCCTGTCTGTGCCCACACATCGCCTGTCTGTGCCCACACATCGCTTGTCTGTGCCCACACATCGCCTGTCTGTACCCACACATCGCCTGTCTGTGCCCACACATCGCCTGTCTATGCCCACACATCGCCTGTCTATGCCCACATATCGCCTGTCTGTGCCCACACATCACCTGTCTGTGCCCACACATCACCTGTCTGTGCCCACACATCGCCTGTCTATGCCCACACATCGCCTGTCTATGCCCACACATCGCCTGTCTGTGCCCACACCTAGCCTCTCTGTGCCAACACATCGCCTCTCTGTGCCCACACATCGCCCGTCTGTGCCCACACCTAGCCTGTCTGTGCCCACACATCGCCCGTCTGTGCCCACACATCGCCCGTCTGTACCCACACATCGCCCTCTGTGCCCACACCTAGCCTGTCTGTGCCCACACATCGCCCGTCTGTGCCCACACATCGCCCGTCTGTGCCCACACCTAGCCTGTCTGTGCCCACACCTTGCCTGTCTGTGCCCACACATCGCCTGTCTATGCCCACAAATCGCCTGTCTGTGCCCACAGATCGCCCGTCTGTGCCCACACATCGCCCGTCTGTGCCCACACATCGCCTGTCTGTGCCCACACCTAGCCTGTCTGTGCCCACACCTAGCCTGTCTGTGCCCACCCATCGCCTGTCTGTGCCCACACCTCGCCTGTCTGTGCCCACACATCGCCTGTCTGTGCCCAGACATCGCCTGTCTGTGCCCACACATCGCCTGTTTGTGCCCACACATCGCCCGTCTGTGCCCTGAGTCCCACTCATCGCCTGTCTGTGCCCACAAATCGCTTGTCTTTGCCCGGAGTCCCACACATCGCCTGTCTGTGCCCTGAGTCCCACAAATCGCCCGTCTCTGCCATGAGTCCCACACATCGCCCGTCTGTGCCCACACATCGTCTGTCTGTGCCCTGAGTCTCACACATCACCTGTCTGTGCCCACACATCGCCTGTCTGTGCCCTGAGTCCCACTCATCGCCTGTCTGTGCCCACAAATCGCTTGTCTTTGCCCGGAGTCCCACACATCGCCTGTCTGTGCCCTGAGTCCCACAAATCGCCCGTCTCTGTCATGAGTCCCACACATCGCCCGTCTGTGCCCACACATCGCCTGTCTGTGCCCTGAGTCCCACACATCACCTGTCTGTGCCCACACATCGCCTGTCTGTGCCCACACATCGCCTGTCTGTGCCCTGAGTCCCACACATCGCCTGTCTGTGTCCACACATCGCCTGTCTGTGCCCTGAGTCCCACACATCGCCTCTCTGTGTCCACACATCGCCTGTCTGTGCCCTGACTCCTACACATCGCTTGTCTGGGCACTGAGTCCCACACATCGCCTCTCTGTGCCCACACATCGCCTGTGTGTATCCTGAGTCCCACACATCGCTTGTCTGTGCCCTGAGTCCCACACATCGCCTGTCTGTGTCCTGAGTCCCACACATCGCCTGAATATGCCCTGAATAGTATACGTGGCTTGTCCCAGATTAACTGTGCCCACACATTGTCAGTCTGTGCCCTAAATAGCATACATCGCCTGTCTGTGCCCTGACTCCCACACAAGGCTAATCTGTGCCCTGTGTCCCACACAAGGCTAATCTGTGCCCTGTGTCCCACACAAGGCTAATCTGTGCCCTGTGTCCCACACAAGGCTAATCTGTGCCCTGTGTCCCACACAAGGCTAATCTGTGCCCTGACTCCCACACAAGGCTAATCTGTGCCCTGTGTCCCACATATGGCTAGTCGCAGCTTGTCTGAGCCCACAAATACCCTGTCTGAGCCCTGAGTCACGTACATGATCTGTCTGTGCCCTATGTGCCACTACTGGCTGATACTACAGATATCACCTTTCACTTTAGCAGCAGCGGCAGCTTAGGCGCCGGAACCTTAGGGCTCAGGTCCCTGAAAACCCCCCCCCCCCCCCCCTTTTTTTCCACGGCCTGTGTTTGAGTTTGTCCTCCTGTCTCAACCGAAACAGTCAGCAAACCAGGCTAGAGACTCAAGTGGTTGAGTTCCAATGTTACTGGGCACGAATGTGGATGTTGGCAGAGGCGCCGGAACCCGGGCTGTCAGGTCGCTCTAGCCATCCCCCATCACAATTTGTCGAAGAGATCCCTTGTTGTCACAAAATATGTACAAATACTTTCATTGATCATTTATGTGCTGTGGATGTCTTCCCAGAGTGGCTTCCTTGGTCTCAGAATGAATGTCCTCCCAGAGTGGATTCCTTGGTCTCAGAATGAATGTCTTCCCAGAGTGTATTCCTTGGTCTCAGAATGAATGTCTTCCCAGAGTGTATTCCTTGGTCTCAGAATGAATGTCTTCCCAGAGTGTATTCCTTGGTCTCAGAATGAATGTCTTCCCAGAGTGTATTCCTTGGTCTCAGAATGAATGTCTTTCCAGAGTGGATTTCTTGGTCTCAGAGTGGAGGGTAAGAGTATAGACCCACTGCCTCCTTAACAAGCATGTCGTAGGAGTCGAATCATTACGTGGTTTCTTTCGAAGTCTGAGTGCTGATGAACCTCACACACAGGATAGTCGGAACGGTCTCTAGCCACAGATTGATTGCAGGACTTGTCCCCGTGTGGACCAGGAGGCAAGTCTGGAGTTCCTCAATGCTACCTTCCACATACGTGAAGCATTCTGTTGCGCGAACCGCAGTGTCATTTACGTCATCAGCTGCAATACATCAGCGAAGCGTGTTAACGATTGGCTGACAGGTTCAGACAACATCTTTTGGATGTGCCCTGAAACCAGTACCGCTGCACTTCAATTTCTAGGATTATCAAGGTGTCCGTGACATGCATGTGACAGCAGTTAAATCTAGTCACTCCAGCAAGTCCGCATGTCTCTTGAAAATGCCTTTGTTTTCACCTTGGGAGCGTTAACACCTAGGGGTCTTAACTGTCAACACAATATTGTCTAAAGTTTTCGAGTTATGGATCCTGACATTTCCTGGCTATATATTTTCTGCCCCCGTGTCTCTTCTTTCCACCGGCAAGACATTGAAGTGGCTGCTTCGAGATATGACAGTTAAGTGATTGTTGTGTATTTGTGTGGATTTATTGGATTTATGTGTGTGCTGACGTTTGGTTTGTGTTTGTTATATTGTGAAGCTCGCTGATCTACTTTTCGCTCGGTTTTAAGGCTTTCTATGATATCTGAATGACAGGCAAGGAACCAACAGTTTGCGTGCAAATAAGCAAAATATGTAGAACGGGTGTGCAGTTAAAGTAAAGTTTTAGAACTAGGCTCAAGTCCAAAGGTGGACGAACAACCAAAATTTTCTGAAGGAGTTTACAGCTGGTGCACGAGAAAAGAAAAAAAAAGAAAGCATAGGCTACATTGCTACAGAGAGCAAATAGGTCCCATTACAATATTATTTGTGAACGCCATTGAGGGAAGGCACTCGTGTGCTGGTGACGCACAGGTTTAGCCCCATGGGCAACATATACATCTGTTTAACACTTCAGTGAGACATCACAGATTTGTTCGGACCCATGGGTAACATATATATATATATATCTGTTTAACACTTCAGTGAGACATCACAGATTTGTTCGGACCCATGGGTAACATATATATCTGTTCAACACTTCAGTGAGACATCAAAGATTGTTTCGGACCCATGGGCAACATATATATATCTGTTTAACACTTCAGTGAGACATCACAGATTTGTTCGGACCCATGGGTAACATATATATCTGTTCAACACTTCAGTGAGACATCAAAGATTGTTTCGGACCCATGGGCAACATATATATCTGTTTAACACTTCAGTGAGACATCAAAGATTGGTTCGGACCCATGGGCAACATATATATCTGTTTAACACTTCAGTGAGATATCAGAGATTGTTTCGGACCCATGGGCAACATATATATCTGTTTAACACTTCAGTGAGACATCAAAGATTGGTTCGGACCCTTGGGCAACATATATATCTGTTTAACACTTCAGTGAGACATCAAAGATTGGTTCGGACCCTTGGGCAACATATATATTTGTTTAACACTTCAGTGAGACATCAAAGATTGGTTCGGACCCTTGGGCAACATATATATCTGTTTAACACTTCAGTGAGACATCAAAGATTGGTTCGGACCCATGGGCAACATATATACCTGTTTACCACTTCAGTGAGACATCAAAGATTGGTTCGGATCCATTGGCAACATATAAATCTGTTTAACACTTCAGTGAGACATCAAAGATTGGTTCGGACCCATGGGCAACATATATATATCTGTTTAACACTTCAGTGAGACATCAGAGATTGGTTCGGACCCATGGGCAACATATATATCTGTTTAACACTTCAGTGAGACATCAAAGATTGGTTCGGACCCATGGGCAACATATATATCTGTTTAACACTTCAGTGAGACATCAAAGATTGGTTCGGACCCATGGGCAACATATATATCTGTTTAACACTTCAGTGAGACATCAAAGATTGGTTCGGACCCATGGGAAACATATATATCTGTTATGTATGAGAGGTTAGAGGTCGGTTCAGGTCCAATAACGCAGGCAGAAACCCGCATGCTTCCACCAGTCGAGCGAAGTTGTTTCAAAGGCTGATCGTTCTTTGATTGTCTCCTTCCCCAGGTTACTACATGTTCATTGAGGCCTCGGCTAAATCACGTGGCAACAACGCCATCCTGTTCTCGCCCCTCTACCGAGGCTTGAGTGAGCAGTGCGTGGAGTTCTTCTATCACATGCACGGCAAGCACGTGGGCACGCTCAATGTCTACGCCCAGGTAATGTCCCACAGGTAACTAGACAGCAGACACGCACAGTGTCTACGCCCAGGTATTGCCTCACAGGTAACTAGACAGAGGTATTGTCCGACCGGTAACTAGACAGAGGTATTGTCCCACAGGCAACTAAACAGAGGTATTGTCCCACAGGTAACTAGACATAGGAATTGTCCCACGGGTAACTAGACAGCAGGCATGCTCAATGTCTACGCCCAGGTATTGTCTCACAGGTAACTAGACAGCAGACAGGCTCAATGTCTACCCCCAGGTATTGTCTCACAGGTAACTAGACCGCAGACAGGCTCAATGTTTACGCCCAGGTATTGTCTCACAGGTAACTAGACAGAGGTATTGTCTCACAGGTAACTAGACAGCAGGCAAGCTCAATGTTTACGCCCAGGTATTGTCTCACAGGTAACTAGACAGAGGAAATGTCCCACAGGTAACTCGACAGCAGGCAAGCTCAATGTCTACGCCCAGGTATTGTATCACAGGTAACAACTAGACAGAGGAAATGTCCCACAGGTAACTAGACAGCAGGCAGGCTTAATGTCTACGCCCAAGTAGTAATGCTCAAAACCCTGAACAATCGAAGAAAAGAAAAGCAGAAATCAGATCTTA